GTAGCAACTTTCAGACCCCATGATAAACAAAAGATGGAACTGAAGGAAGATGAGCACATCATTTGTATTGCTGATTTAAGCTGCCACAAGAAATACATGCTTATTTGACAGTGATAGTGGTAATTATGATTTGTAATACTTGCAATATCCCAATTCACAACATTCTTGAAGCTGAGCTTCTGACAGTGTTTGTCACAGGAGATTTTTTTTTGGGATGTTTACTAAGGTAGAGTTTTCTTTCATTTGAAAATTGATCTTTTCTGAACAATGTCCTGTGTATCAATTTTCCAGTGCCATCAGGCTCTATACTCAATGAGCGTGAAACCTCCTGTTAACAAAGTTATCTGTCTTTCTACTCTTAGAGACAGCAGGCCATCCCTAGTGTTACAAGTTGAATTCACATCAAAGCTTTCTTCTCCCTAACCTAATTTGAGGATGTCAGAAAAACAAGCCTTTTAAGAAAAGGAGAAATTCCCTATGCAATTGCTTGCACTCCCGCTCAAACACAGAGGATTCTCTGACCCTCTGTACTTCTGAGGATTTTTTGTTGGAATCTATGCCTTGGTGCAGAATTTTCTGTATTGCTGGTATTCTTGGCTCAATGAAGAATTTTTTAAATGGGAAATTCTCAGGCTAAACAGAAGGGAGTCTGTGCTGAACTTGCAGGCTCTAAAATACACAACTTTCTGTGAGGAGATCCAGAAATGAAGGATCTGGGGTTTATTAGCTAAATTTTGATCTGGGGCAGAGGAACAGGAAGGAAAAATGGGAGATGGCACTAAGCTCCTACTATGCCTCATGTCTTTGCAGATCACTGATGCTGACAGAACAGCTTTAGGAATGCTTTAAATCATCCTGTAACTACAGCATCATAAATGATCTTCAGGGTCAGAGGGTAGGGGAGTTTGATGTTGTCAGTTGTGATGACACTTTCACTCCCAAGAAAAGAAAACAAGGAAAAGCTTATTCTAACTTACAACTACTTTGGTGAAAATTATACTATAATTTTGATGCATTTTGGGATGAAAGTTTTTTCTGACTGACTTCATAAGTTAACGTCAGTAGATGTCATAAAGTCAGCTATGAGTTGGGTCCTCAGTTTAGGAACTGGAACAGGTAAGAAATTCAGAATGTGCTTTTGAGACACTGTGAAAACTATTTAACAGGAAGTTTCTCTACATAATATTAGATTTAATTAAATGACAAGGTAAGCTTTCATTGAGATAGACTTGCAAAATTGCTATTTCTTTAACTGTTTGTTTTGTTTTTCTCTTTTTAATGTGCGTGTTCACTGTCTCTGATGTTCTGAAAGAAAAAGTTTTAGAAGTGTGCTCCTCCTCTGGGTTGTAGCAAAATAGAGTAGGTTATTCAATACCCATCTAATTGCAAGGTTTTTTGTTTTTTGTTTTTTTTCTAAAACAAAAAAAGACCACTGAAACAGCTTGTTTTTCACAATTCCAAGGCAAGCTAACACTGTAACTGTAGTTTATGGTATAACATCATAGAAGCTGCAGATTTCCTGAATTAGTCAAAACAAGAGGATTCCTTTTTTCCTAGGATGCTGGTAACTGAAAGTAGAAAGGCAGCTTTGATCTCCTGTTTATCTGAAGATTTGTCCTTCTGAAATTGTGGAAGCCTCTCAAGTTCAACTAAGCAGGATTTCTATCTATTGTTTTGGGGCATCTGGAACTAGTGGGGAATACAGCCCTTTCCCAGCTTCACATTTTATTTTTCCATTGCACCCTGAAGCTACACAGCGCACTGCCAAGAGAAAACTAATTCAGCAGTATAAATTAAAAATAGGATTCTCGTGACACAAAATGCATAAATGTTTTACTTGTATAATGATTTTGCAGCAGTGATGCCTCTGTTATGAATTCTTCCCAACTTGTGAGATGCATCTCACATTGCCAACATGCACAGGTAGAGAGAAATAAAATGGTAAAAAACTCACATTGAGAAATTAATGAGTGATGCTTTAGGGAAGAGTGCTGGCAACATTTCTTTGTTATATCCAGTTATCCTTGAACTATTTTTCTTTAGAAAAAAAACCCTAAGTAAATGTTTCAAGTATGACTTAAAGACTGTAACAATCAGGGCCACATTAAGACTATAATTTTAAGAAGTTTCACATCATTCTTGTGCAAGTCATAACAATGTTCTCAGTAATGCCTCACTATTAGAAATGCAGCTAAAACCAAGTACTTTAAATAAATAATACTGTAAATAAAACTCTGAACTAAGTATTATGATTTTCTTATTATTTAGTTGGGAGTGAAATATCTTTAACAGAAGCTTTATCACCCTCAGGATGCCACAGACAAAGCTACCAAGAGCCTCCAGTTCCCACCTCTAGCTGTCCAGAGAGCACTAGGACAGAACAATCCAGGATTCAGAACATTGTGAACAGATGGCAGCAACCTACCCTCAGATAAGGCCCAGCAGTTACACTCCAGCAGTTATTACCACAATTTAATAACATTTTTACATTAGTAAAAATTCATTATCAGAAAGACCAGCAGTAAGAACACTAACTTTTGGATGCCCCGTCCCTAGAGGTACTCAAGGCCAGAGTGGATGGGGCCCTGGGCAGCCTGGTCTAATATTAATTGAGGAGGTTGGTGGCCCTGCCTGTGGCACGGTGGGTTGGAGATTCATGATCCTTGAGGTCTCTTCCAACCCTGGCCATTCTGTGATACTGTAAGAGATAGTACACCTAGGGAGAAAAGGAACACCAAATACAGACTACAAACCATAATCTTATGGAAGATAACAACTAAAATCACCCAAGCATGTTTCTTTATCACAATTGACTTTACATGAAGCACACTTAAAGGTGTGACATTAGTGAAGAACAGATGCAGACCTGGGGTATGCATTTACCAGCAGGTAATCAGATGATCTAGCAATCCACTCAGCCTCATAAGGCCTGAATAGCAGCACAGTCTTTCCTCACCTGCACTCTGCTCTCAGCTGTGTGCAAGATTCTGCCTAAGCAGAAGTAACTGCTGAACCAAGGGTCTTAGTGGCCTTCAAATTAGCTTCAAAAATAAATAAAGCAGGGCCTATCAGCCACTTAAGCTTTTTTTTTCAGCTCCATTTATTTAAAGTATCCTTTCAGATAGCTATTATCACCCCTGAAATAGATTTACCCAGCAATTAGCTGTAGCTTGACAAATCATTTGGGTCCAATTTGCATTTATTTCTCCCACAGAACAGAACAACAAGGGACTAAGTTCCACGTTCCTTTAGTTTGTTCCGTGAATACTGTTGTTTCTATCCCAGTAGAGCTTGAATAAGAAAATGATTATTCATAACAAAGGACCTTAAGTTAGACTGGATTTGGTAAGTGATCTAGTCTGTTAAAAATGATTCAACCTCCCAGATGACAGAATTGTTTGAGATGTAAGGGACTTCATCTAGGGACTAAAAGTCACCTATTGCAACTCCCCAGCAGTGAACAGGGGCACCCACAACCAGATGAGGTTGCTCAGAGCCCTGTCCAGCCTGACCTTGAATGTCTCCAGGGATGGGGTGTACACCACCTCTCCAGTCAACTAACTCTGGTGCCTCACCACCCTCACTATAAAAAGCTTCTTCCTTACATCCAATCTAAGTCTCCTCTTTTTTAGTCTGAAACCATTTCTCTTTTTCCTCTCACAACTCTCTTGTCCCAAATGCTTAAATCATAGGAGAAAAAAATGAAGTGGTTTAACTATTAACTTTCTAGCAAAGCACTATAGCTGAATATCTACAAAGTCTGGCCCTATAGAGTAGGAGGAAGTAGCAGGAAAAATATACCTACTTGAATCCTTACTCTGTGGGATACTGAGCAGCTCCCAACTCACCAGCTTAACTGCTGCAAGAACTAAGTACTCTCCCTAGCTCAAAAGGTTTCAAAAAATCCAGAGAATTTAACAAGCAAGAAATGAAAACAGACCTACAGCTAACCGAGTTAACACATCAGAAAGCAATTGTGATGTCTATTATAAACAGGTGGCTAACCTTGGATGTTTACTATCCCTGCCTATAGCAGGGGGTTGGAACTAGGTGATCTTAAAGGTTTCTTCCAACCCAAACCATTCTGATTACTTGGTTGCTACAAGCCTACTCTGACTTCTTTGTAGGCAGCAAGCGTTCTGTTAACAAGCATTAAAAGTTACTGACACCAACCTAACATCCACCATGCTATTGGTTCATAATAGACTTTATTCACATACCTGTTGAACATAGTATTCCAGCCCCATGAAATTCTCACATTTAATACACATTCAAGTTAATCTTGATTCCCTGATTTAGGAATATTCTTTGATTTACACTGGCTAGTTTATGCTGAGATGGTGCCTCTTAATGGGCAAACAAGTACAAAATCTGCAGTCCTGACCTTATTAACAACGTAAAGAATCCATGCTTACCAAAAACACTGCAGGTTTAAAAAGGCCTACTTGTTTAACTAAACCAGGCAGCTTCTAGTACAGCAGTTTATTGTGGAAGATACTCCTTACCACATTAATTCTTCCTTCCCATACACTAATTATTGCTTTATGCCTTGATCACATGGGCACATACTCAATTTCACAGCATTATTCCCAATGACATCTCACACGGTGTAAAGTTGCAGGACTACAGTCTTACCCAAGAACAATTCCTTTGCCAAGTTAACTCTAAGTAACAAAGTTTCTCTGATAACAGATAGTAGAAAATTAAAAGATATTTACTTACAAAGTACTTATTCTCAAACCAGGTGGATCAAGTGAGGTGTCTGACATCAAACACTTCCGTGTTATTCCCTCCCTACCCCACTCCCCCCCCAAAAAAAAACTAACAAAAACACACATTCACAAAATGCCTAACAGCACCCATTCCCCAATGCTCTAGGCCATAGTTTGCCCTCATAACACAATGGAAAGCACCGTGATAACAGCAGCAAGATCCCAGATTGCTACGACACTCAGCTACAACAGCAGCAAACACAGAAATAAAGGGAAAAAACTACATACCTTCAAAAAGCCTCAGGTACACAGGGATCTCCAGAGAGATACCCTTCCCTTCCCTGCCAACCCTTAAATGAGGTCTGGGAAGGGGTGGATCCTGACTCTAGCCTTTCCAGTCAGTCAAATGCATTGCTTGCACCTGAGCTCTCCTGGATTGGCCCTGCCTTCCTACCAGGTGCTCAATCACTGGTTCAAGCTGTCAGCTAGCATTTTCGCTGCAGCCCTCAACCCTGACAACGTTCTGAGGACCACTGTGTATCTGCCACCTATTTCCACCCTCACCCCCTAAAAGTGGTTCCATATTGTTAGCAGTTCTGTGGTTCAAAGTCTATCTGCAAACTTTGCTTGCAAACTCTATGACTGAAGTAGAAGTGGTTTTCAATGTGGTGGTTTTTCAATAGTGGTTGCATTTGTACTAAGAGAAAACATTAAGAAAAATACATTTAGAAGAGAGGAAATATCACAAAATGTATGTAAAAGTATGTGAAAAAAAATGAACGTAAAAGAAAACGACTAACCCAACTTAAAGGACAAAGCTTATTTTGTCACCACCACTGACAGGCTCTGTGATACATAGGACACTGTTAAGTTAAACCGGGATGATTATTCACACTTTTGTGTTGTTTGGAAGTGGGCAAATGCTTATTTTCCATCCACTGACCATACTACTGCATTTTCAGGCTCGGCTACTCTTCAGCTACTGCAGCGTCAGGAACATCCCCACCTGCAATACAGTTAACAAAACAAATGTGGGTTCTATTTCTTCTTATACATACGCCTAATTTTACAGTGCTGAGAACAGTCTGAGGTCGTTAACTGTCAGCAGGATCAGTGCAATTATTTATGTCTATACAATCAACAGAGCTCTATGCAGATTTTGAAGCTTTTTTTTTTAGTCACACTTTTGCTCCAAGTAATTAATAACATTGTAGGGCTGTATAAATATAGATAAAGATGATAACAGAACTGGAGTGGGGCAAAAAAAAAAAAGAAAAAAAAAAAGCTTTCCTGACAAGCACACTCACTTTTTTTTTTTTTTTTTCCTTTTAATTTTAAATAAAGCTGTCTGTGAATTTGAGCCTAGGGAGACCTTCATTAAAATCAATTAATCAGCCAGCCTCTCCGCTGAACAGCTTTCCGGAGACAAAGTCAAAATAGGTTTCAGGAGCGCGGTGCGGTCCCCCTGCACTCTCCGAGCCCGCGGGCCGTGCCGCGCCGTGACGTTCCAGCGCTGCCCCCGGGCACCTCGCTGCCCGCCGAGGCCTGGCAGGTGCCCCAGGCCCCGCGCAGGTGAGCGCCGGTTCCCGCGGCCTCGCCTCCCCTCAGCCACCCGGCTGCGTGACCCGGCCGAAGGCTCCTTGCGCTTTCCGATGCGGCTGAGGCGGCGGCTGTGTGCGGAGCGCCCCGCTGCAGCCCGTTCCCTCACCTCGGCGCCCCCCGAGGGGGGAAAGTTGGCGGCCGAGCGCGCCCTCGGCTCCGTGCCGTCGCTTCCGCCGCCCCCGCGTTGAGCCCGGGCGGGTGTCCCCGGCAGCGGCGGCGGCGGCGCCCGTAACCCCCCCCCCCCACCCCCGGCCCAGCGGCGGGCGCGGAGCGCGGTGCCCTGCACAGCTGTTACGGAGCGGCGCTGGTCCCTCCTCCCAGCTGCGGCTGCCTCATCTCCCCCCACCCAGCCCGGCCCTCCCCTCCGCCGCTCCCGACGCCGCCGCCGCCACCTCCTTCTCCTCTCCCCACCCCCACCTCGCTCTCTCCCCATCTCTCGCTCCGTCCCGTTCCCCCCCTGCCCCCGCCTCTCCCCGCCCCGCCGCCGCCGGCCCTGGCAGAGCAGGCACGGCACGGCGGGGGGATCTCGATGTAACACCATGACAGGCATCGCCGCCGCCTCCTTCTTCTCCAACGCCTGCAGGTTCGGGGGCTGCGGGCTGCACTTCCCGACCCTGGCGGAGCTCATCGAGCACATCGAGGACAACCACATCGGTGAGCGCCCGGGGCAGGGCAGGGCACGGCCGCGTGTGCGGCGGCACAAGGTGCGGCGGGAGCCGGGGGGCGGCGGCCGCCACCGCCGCTGGGAGCGGGCGGGCGCGGAGCGGTCCCGCGGGGCGACGTGGAGGGCGGCCGCGGGAGGCGGCCGCGCGGTGGGTGTGGGCGCGTGCAGCCCGCTGGGCGCAGCGAAGGGAGTTAGTTGGCGTCGGCAGCGGGGAGCGCGGAGACCCGGAGGAGGGGAAGGAGGAGGAGGACGGGCGCAGCGCGCCGCCTGCTGCTTCCGCCCCGGCTCCGGCTGTCAGGGCTCCGGGGAGGGAGGGAGCCGCCGCGGCGGCAGCCATTCCGCTTCCTCCTCCTCCCGCCGTCGCGCTGCGTCCTGTCAGCGCTGTTGCTAGGTGTGGCGGAGCACGGCTCGCCCGCCGCAGCTCGACCGCGCGGGAGGCGCCGGGGGGGACGGCTGCGGGCGGGGGGCGTGGAACGGCGGAACTCCCGGGGCCGAGCCGCGGCTTCGCGCCGTCCGCTCGGTGGAGCCCGAGCCGTCACCTGTAGGCTCGACCCGCTCTCTCCCCGCGGCTCCCTCCCCGTCCCGCCGAGCCGGCGGGGCCTGCGGGCGGCGGGGCGATGACTCGTCAGTGCCTTCCCGGCGAGGAGGGTGCCTCGTGGGCGGGCGGCGGGGAGGGAGGGAAGGAGCGTGCGCAGGGGCCGCCGGGCCGCCCCTCGGCTGTGCGGGCGGTGCTGAGGGGAGGGGGCGGCGCGGCGCGGCGCTGCGCGACGGCCGTTCACGCCAACTTTCTGCGGGCCGCCGCTAGGCCCCAGGCGTGCCCGCGTGGAGCGCGGCGCCGGGCCGGGCGCTGGTGGAGTGTCTCCCCGCCGCTCCGGTCGGTTGCCGGCTGCTCGGCCCCGGCAGGTGTTGCCTGGAGTTTCAGGCGACTTCCCGGGCTTTCTCACGTTTCTTCGTTTATAGAGAAGCTGCAGTGTTCGAGCTGCTCCAAACGGGGCTGCTGCTTCTAAAATCGGGGCAGAAAATACAGAAGTTTTAAGCACCAGTGGGCTGCAGGCTGCTGTGATGCAGTGGCAGCGTAACAAAATAACGTGCTGCTACAAAATGATGGAGCTGATGGTGCACGCTTCAGACTAATTTCAATAAGCAGGCCTGAACGACTGAAAAATTAGAGAAGCTTAAATCGCAAGTGTAGCATTACCTTCATGCAGTGCTGTGGGTCAGGGAGATGGGAGGTGTGCGGCTCGTAATTACCATCGTGTTGAGCATGAGGTAACAAAACCACACACCGCAACGCTCTGTAATTTATGACTCGGCGTGCTGCGAGTTGTGATACTGCTCTGGCTTTGGGGGTTTTCTGCTGAATCTCAGTTGCCGAGCTTTTCCTGCAGTGTGCATTGCAACAGAAAAGCTCAGGAGAAACAGTGACCAAACTGAAAGCTGGCAAGTCATCTTGCATCCCTCCAGTGGTTATCAGCCCAGAGGTGCTACAGCCTGTGGGGTGTCAGGACAGATAGAGACCAGCTCACGTGGCCTGTAATCTGGGGTCAGCAGCTCTCTGGCTCCTCTGCACAGAGGATAACTTCATGCTGAAATGTTGCAGTTCCTTAATCGTCGTGTATGTGATGTTGGCTGCCTATTTTCCTGTCTCAAGAAAGCAGTACACTTCCAGTGTGTACACCTGCATTTAACATGTTTGCCACTGCTTGGACTACACAGAGCTGAAGCTTTGCCCATGTGATGTCATGTGTGCAACTGATGGGGTGCAAAGCAGTGGAAAATAGCACAAATGTGCTTTAACATTTCCTCTCCACGTGGCAATAAGGTAAAGGCAACCTGCTCAAGCATAGATGATGCAGGTAGGTTGTGTTGCTCAACTTCATCAAATGCTTGACAAATTAGTAGGGAGTTGCACCTATTATGCCAAAGTGAATCTCAGTTCTCACTTCCAGGCCTCAGCTGCACAAGTTGGTGCATGTGGTGGGCTCCTGGAGCAGCCTGAAGGATCAGAGCCCCAAACTCACCAGGTGCAGATTCTTCCAGAATGTGATTAATGTTTTTTCTTGGAGTGAAGAAACAAACCTCCAAATAGGAGGTTGTGTTGCACCTCCTTTCTCTGTAAGTCTGGTGCAGACGGAGTCCAGTGTTTTCTGTCACGCAGGGTAAGACATGTGCACCAAAATTTGCCGTGTTAATAGTTAACTGCAGCTTCTGGCATACATACCGTGTAACATACCATGTAAAACATAGGTTGCTTGGGATGTTCCAGGTGTGCTGCGAGAATAAAGGAAACTCAATTATTTTCCATTGTAACTTTAAACTGAAGTGAGAGCTTGCAAGGCAAATGGTGTCACACTGCAGATAACAAGCCTGATGCTTTGAACAGCTCTGTGGGACACCATCCATAGTGTGATAGTGTGGACTCCTGGTGGTCTCTGCATGTAGTCTCAGTTGCTGCAATGGATGCAGTGGAATGGGAGCTCTGTCAGTGGAGTGCTGGTGAGAAGTTGGTCATTTTTTGAGCTATGTTGTCTCTGAAAAGATGGGAACAAGTACTTACCCAGGGATCTTTTCCATCAGCCTTGCCAATAAAGCTCAACTTACTGTAAAGGCTCATGGCATTCCAAGGTCAGAATGTATTTAGTTTCTGCTCTTCCTTTCCTTACTTGTAACATAGCATTCATGAATAATGATATGATAATGAAGTAGTTCATTGTGCAGTTATGGGGCTTTGTGTGTGTGTGTGTGTTTGTTTTACTCTTCTCTTACTAACATCTTATGGAACACCTTACAAATGACCACTGCATTGAAAAAAAAGATTTATGCTGGTAGACTGGGGGAATTGGGCATGTTGGATGAAACATTCAAATTTGAGATGGTGCTGACGACCCATTAGTATATTGGCTTTGGTCTCTATTTTTTTCATTTAATTATTACATTTATGTATTCTGTTGCACTGAAAATAGTTAAGCTAATTTGGGAGCATAGCTCTTGGGACTTCCCGGAGGCCCTAACAGTGTCCTCTGCAGTGAGAATGTCTGCAAAAGGAACTCCTGTAACTCTGCAGCAGCACTGACTATAAAAGTGCTCTATTTGCATTTTATACGGCTCACAGCTAGAAGTGGACATTGATTCAAAACCATTGATTACTAATTTTTATGATGCTTCTCTGGGAGCTTTTTCTACCAGCGTACTGTCCATGCAGTCTGAAGTGCTGCTACCTCCTCAGCAAGTGTGCCAAGAAGGGGCCTGTTTGTCTGCCTTAATAGGCAGTCACCCTGACTCTTGGTTTTTCATTGCTCTGTCCTCTTGCAGGTTGCTGGTTTACTTCTCTGATGTTGCTAGGATGGGAACAAAATGCTTTCGTTTTTGGTTTTATTTCATCTGTGATTTGATTTTTCATCAGTCTGCCTGTAGCTGAGCTGCATCCTTTAGATCATGTATGCATACATACAAACGATTGTGCAATCACAGAATGGCTTGGATTGAAAAGGACCTTAAAGGTCATGGGTTCCAACCCTGCTGCCATGAGCAGGGATGCCACCCGCTAGATCCTGGAAGCTAGTTCTTCATTTAAAGTTTATTCTGACTAAACTCATCACTAAAGTGAGCTGAATCACTTTATCAGATTTTGACAATGTAATTAAAAAGAAAAAAGTAGTTTGGATTTATAGGTAGGTATTTTTAATCATATGTGGAGGTGAGGTTGTTGTTTGTATGAGCTGGTATGTGTTCACTTGTTCCACGTTAAGGACTAGCGTGCTATATGCTCAACTGTGCATCTGTATGGCTCTGGACAGCATTTCTTCTCCTGAGAAGCGCTGAGGGAATGAATGTGAATGAAATGAGTGTCTGAACATACAGTGGTCACTGGAATAGCCTGCCCAGAGAAGCAGTGCATGTCCATCTCAGAGGTGCTCAAGGCCAGGTTGGATGGGGCCCTGGGCATCCTGATCTGAAGGGTGCCAGCCCTGTCCATGGCAGGGGGTTGGAATTAGGTGGTCTTGAAGGTTCCACCCTAAGCCATTCTGTGGTTAATGGAGTTGAAGACTGTTAATTGTGTTGCACTGAAATGGTCAGTAGATCTTGATGGAAGGAAGAATCCACCCATCTGCACAGATAGTCACACAAACTGACATGATTCACTGTAGGTACATGTCATCATAACTTCATAAGAAGTTCTGTTGAATAGCTTCTATTGAGGTATAAATATACAAGCTTCTGCTGTCAAAGCTGAGAGCAGTGGTGCTTCTCGTCAAAGTTGACCAGTTCCCAGCAGTAGGATGAATCCTGCAACAACTCTTCAGAAGTGCATGAACGTGATTTGGGTGGTTATTTCACACAACTCCTTTTTAGCATTTTGCCTAATGTGTAAATTAACATTTGAAGTTGGGAGTTGCTGTTTTGAAGAAGCGGTAGATCTTATCCTGGGGCTTTTTACGCAGTGAGTGATACACCAACTGTATGGGATAGTCTTTGGGAGAAAATACCAAGTGGCTGCTGTCATGTGTGCTCTTCGGGGCATGAGGG